TGAAAAAATATAAAAATTGTGATGGAAAACTTTAGGCAAGTGTAGAAAGGGCAAACTATTTAGTTTACCCCAATAAGTTACTGCATAAATTCAAATTATTTCAAGGAAAAAATTGCTGAGAAATTTTACAGATGGGTACTTACCTTGACTTTTGGGAAGCTTAAATCTGCTTTCGTCAGAATTGGAAAGAGTCTAATGAAACTGCGGCCAGAAGGATCTTGGTCGATAGTTGAGCAAAATTGTGATTTTGTTCAATAAACTACTATTATTGTTATTATCCTAATGATACTGGCAGGTTCTTCTTCACAAGTTTGCTTTCTCTTCAAACATCCTTGACGATGTCAAAAGTGAAAATACACAAAAAATAAGATCCATAAAATCTCTGATTTATTCCCACAAAAATGATTCTCATTCAATGTTCAAAAATGTTCTTTATGGATAATTGATCCTTCAATGTAACTTATGTTTTGATTGAGTTATTATATTTTTCTGTTTATTCAATATATGTGTTTTTCATATATTTCAATTGTTTTTAATCTCTTAAAATACTTAAAAAAATCATGGGAATGAAAGTTAAATACAATAGTAATATTTGATACTTTAAAAAAAAAATCAACTTTTTTCTGAATAGCTTATTAAATCAACAATATTATACAAATGAAGACTAACGTCACAGAATGTAATTTTTTGAGGGCTCTTTCCATCTCTCGTTCTATCTCTTCATACTGTCTTCTTCATTTCTGTTAATTAGGTCATCCATATTAGTTGAATTGGTTCAAAAAGATGTTTTGTCAAATTAAATATCATAAGTTAACTTCACAAAACTTTGACAGCTTAGACTTTTCAGGATATGATTTTCTTTTCTACTCCCTGGCTTCAGTTTCTCTTACTTATGACCTGTATGTTTAGTAAGAGAAGTCAGTTCTCTCAGTTTGTGACAGAAATCATTCAAGAATACAGTAATATTAAACCACGTCTCATTTTTATAACTTTTTTCAACATTTTCACTCTCTGAAACTCGAGAAGAGTGGCCGGGAAAGATCAATCAGCTCAATCTAATCAGAGTGAAGTGGTATCTAGTAATCTAAGCAAGCATGACCCTAGGACGTACACTGGCACTGTAACAGTGTGTTGGGCTTTCGCAGCTATATATCAGTATCTTTCGACCGGTCTGTACTAAGTTGGAGGTCCACCCAAAATATTTGATCATTTTCATTGTATCTTTTTTGAAATGATCTAATAGTACTAGAAATGCAAATATTGCCTTTGAGTGATACATAGAATGAGAACAAAGGAAAGTACAAACCAGATTTCAAAAAAATTAAACCAACACACAAGTTACTATCAATATTGTTCTATGCTTGTAACAACACCCAGAACGGACCTTCACTGAATATGATAATTTATTATTCAAATCAATAAAACAATTCAAAATGCAATCCAAATATAAATCGCAGTAAACAATCTCAAGAAACCAACTGAACTCAGTGACTTAGTACATCGAAAGCTAAGCTCTTGGTACAACAGAATGGCAAACATGAGTTGCCTGCTTAGATCATGAAGAGGTCAAAGTGATGTATTTTATTTCTTTCTATCAATGTCTACATAGCCTTAATGATGTCATTAATCTCTTCTGATTAGAAAGTTTACTATTTTTGGGTGGCATTCTTCATCTTTTTGATAGTTATGTACAGCTGCCGGACTGAGTCATGGCCGAAGATGCCCCTCCCTCAAGATGTGCAGTAGATGTGTAGAAATCTTGTGTCAGTCTGTTAGATTATTCGAGCCGTAAACATCCACATTCAGGACAGTATTCAGTTAGTGATGAAGATCAAAAGTAAATTGCATAAACAAATTTGAAATGGTCAAACTCATGAAGATACGATACAATTTCTCCCACCGGTCATGACTCAGTCCGGTAGCTCTACATTTGACAACATTGCATTCAATTCTAGTTTAATTATGTACACTGCCAACAATTACCTGTATACAATTTGAACTATTTTTATTTATTCGTCTGTAATGTGTATTACCCTTATACCTCACTGTTACTTATACTATACGTATACTTATACTCTGTGTCCAAGATAAGGATGAAAAGCATGGGAACCTTGGAAACTATAAGAAATGCAAAGTTGGTTGAATTAGAAAATTTTGAGTAGTTCTGGAGATGTTCGAAAGGAACCCAAATTCGTCGACTTTATTTTATTTCACGCGTTTTTAAGAAGATATTTGAAAAACATTTCCTCGTGTACACTATTTAAACTGTACAAGGTGGCAGCCTTTTTTTGTATGGTTTCTGATTTTCCCACTTCTTATCTTGAACACATTGTGAATTTTCTTCAAGGCAAACAAACGGATAAGTCCCATGTAAAAGTGCCATTTAGTTTCATAAATAATTATGATGTAGTCTACTGGAAAATAGAAAGGTCTGCAGCATCCGATCAGAAACTGTCATGTGTGTTGTTTTTCAACAAAAATGAGTGTCTGAAATAGTTGATTTTTTTACTTTTAAGTGGCAATATGTCATCAGATAAAAATATGTTAGTCAATTGCAACAAAGTTCAAAAACTAGTGAGAGCTATTAGAATGAAAATTACCTTTTTCATTTATATAAAAAATGTACACGATAACATATATAATTTTTAGGTATTTCATATAGCGTCAATGCACAAGAACTTTTAGTTGAGCGATGTTTACAAGATGACCAACAGCTTCTTGAAGCTTTAGCACCTGATCCAATTCTCGAATCAGATCTTCTCACACTTGATGATGGAACTTTGAAATCTGAATTAAATGATGATATTGATATGGCTTCTCAAGGAGTAACTCCTGTTGATTCACAAGTTGTAGATAATTATATAAACAGTTTGAGCAATAACGATCTTGGGAAAAGTTTGGACTCGCCTAGCACTTTTAAAATGGAAACCAGACAGAATAGAAGAAGTGATTTGGATAATGAGGAACAATTATGTAAGAACTTTGTTATCTTTATATTTTATGTACTATGTTTACATAAATGTAAGTAGGATTTAGAAGTTAACTTTATAGATGTATATTGAGTAACTGCAGCAATTTGTTGAACTGAAAATACAATTGAGATACATATTCTGACCTCCACCTGTTTGATATTTTTCTTGTGTTTTTATGAGTTAATTATACAAGTAACGAATCACATGGGACAGGCAGCTGTTTTTCAGAAAACAATCTGGGGCATGTACTAGTTTACAATCTTCCTCTTGGACGAAGGTTTCATATATGTAACGGAGCCATGTTGAAATTAATTGAGTCCCAGACACTTTGCTGTTTGGGTAGGATCTTTCCTGTACTGACGAGAGGTAATAC